CTGAATGCGCGCAAGCGGCGATTCCCGGTCCCCTATGAGTCAGGTGTGAAGCAACAGTAACAGATATTCTGCGCAGCTGGTCCCCTGAGAAGTTATCTTGTCACCCCCAAAAGACAGTGATTTGGCTGGCCTGACGGGCAGCAAACATGATAGCAAGAAAGCATATGCACCCCGTTCCGCCTCTTGAGCCCCTAAGAATGAAGATTGCCAGCTTGCAGGTACGAAGAAGGCAAGACCTTTGAGCCCACCGGTTGCCCATCTCGAACTGTCAAAGCTTCCCTGTCTGGGAGGAATGTCAAACCAACCTCCTGTTCGGGGAGTGGAGATTTAGCAACTCCACGGCAGCCCTTTTCCTACCTTTCAGGCTTGAGCGAGGCGGGAACGAAGGCAAGCAAGGAAATAACAGACACTGAGGCAATCTTGGCCAAAGCTGTGTCGGCCCACCCACACCCAGAATTGCCAAGGATAGCTTAGGCTGACCAACCCAACAGTGCTTTTGTGAATCTCGCCCCCAGCCAGCAGCTCAGTGAACGTTGCGACGGCGCACGGCTCAAATGTTGTTAATCCTGAATGCTCGCCTCATTGAGCATGTGCACGCATCCCGGCGTTTCTTACCAATGCAATGCTGGCTGGGAAGTCATCTCAGTTGACAGGGCGAACACATGCGCTTGACTCCAGCTGCACATCACTGCGGCGTTTAAACAAGTATTCTCTTGACCCGCCCAGTACAATTGTCCCAACCCCAGGTGTGTCCCCGGCTCAAGCAGTCTCCGCCAAAGGTGGCCTTGCTTTAGACCCGTGGAAGTTGTGAAAGTTGATTGAAACCTTCTGCACATCTGAACTGCTGACCCTCGCACTGAACACCGATTTGACCTGACACAATGCTCGCCTCCCTGCCACTAACCCACAGAACATGCAGAGACAAACAAAATACACACACACACACACTTAAACTCCAGATGGAGAGTGCTAATCTTTCGAGTACAACTGATGAGTCTCGAGTACAACTGATGAGTCTCGAGTACGATGAGTATCTGCTTGATTTCCGCGGGCAAAGAGGGGACCTTGTTGGGAAGCAGGTACGTAGCTGAGCGTCCTCAGCTACTTCCCTTCCAGTGACCTAGCTTCGTTGGATCAGGTCAGTCCCTACAGCCCCCCAAACACGCCAATTCCCACACAAGCGGCCAAAGAGGCAGTTTTCTGCAGTTTCCAAGGCTAGCACGGCCAAAGCCACACCAGCACGGGGAAACACACACAAGCATCATCTTGAGCCAAAAAGCGGTTTTGCTCGTTCGCCTACAAAGTTAACATTTGTGTTGGAAACACACCGTGAGCTTTAACACTAGCACCGTGTTGGGCCAGAACGCGGCTGTGATCCAAAAACAAACTGCGAAGCAATTTACTTGCGGGGAAAAATCTGCACGTCGCACACCCTGGTTTGTTTTCTGCACTCACGCTGCGCCGCGGAGTTGTCGAAGCTGAGCATGAACATATATACGGTAGCGGCCCATGGCCGCCCGAATGGTGCTCAGTGGATGAACTCGACGGGTCAATCTTGAAAAGTGGCCCACGAAGTCTTCATCCATTGGGACCGACGTTGCAAGCGGCGATATCGCCCACTTTGCAACGCCGGATTCCCAAAGGAGAAGTTGGAAGATGTGCCAACAGAAGTGAATCTTCGGGAACAGCGGAAAATACATCAAGGACTGGCTGTGGCTCAAGCGGGCAAGCTTTGAGTACGCCTGCAAAAAAGTCAAGCCAGCGGATGCTATGCGAGCAGCGTCCGTGGACTTGATCCAGAACCCATTCTTGTGAAGCTCGCTCTGCGCGTAGTTGATCGCCCGCGCAGATAAATCCTAGTCACGCCAGCTGGGATTCGGAAAGAGGCCCCCAGTTCCCAGTTCAGAACACTGCGCCTAAAAGAAAAAACTTTGACAAAGGCAGGGCGCAATGAGCGCCACCATTTCATTGTGCTGAGCCCGCGGGGTTGCCAATTTTGCCACGAACTTCATCATGGTTGTAGTGAAGGAGCCCTTTGACCAGTTGCCTTCAACCCAGGATGTTGTGGACGAGGAAAACAAACTCTCTTTCAGCGTGGAGAAGTACTTGGGTTCGTGCGTTTCCTCAAGCCATGCGCCGCAAGGAAACAAAGAGGGGATCTTGGGGGATGAGTGAAAACTAGTCGTTGGGTTCGTTAGCCGTGCGCGCAAGGAAACTCACAGGGGACCTTGAGGGATGCGTGGAAACTACTTGTTGAAAACAACTTGTTTGTTGACCACGTTTTTGCGCCCGCAAAAAAAAAGGACAAAAACCACACGCCAAGCAAGGCCAGGGCACCTTGCAGAACAACGTGTAGAGACGAGAGAGCTCAGCAAACTGTTCCAGTTTTGTGCCCCCATCCAGAAGCGCCGCCAAATACATAATTGAGCTGGCAGACCATGACTTCCCCACCCCCAAAAGCAGCGAGTGCCAGAGGTCGGGGCAATGAAATGTTTCCTTGTGCTCGTCAGTGGTGAGAAGCTGCGTGTGCGGACTCTCTGTGGTCCATGGGATGTCCTCGAAAAACGTCTCGACAAATCTGGGAGCATCGCTCCTCAGCAGTTGCACCGGGTCTTGCTGTAGGATGTTGGCATCATGCGCTTATAGGGCCAGGGAGGGTTTTCAACCCAAAGAAGCTTTGTTCGCGCGCTGGTTTTCCCTTATTATGCTTTGGGCGCTGTGCGCTTTTGACCTCACAGGAAAACAAAACTCACAGGGTAGGGGTCTTAACTGGATCTTCAAAATAATTTTGGGGGGCAAAACCATTTTCTGGGCAGCATGTTGGTCTTTTTGGCAAATGATGTTGGCTGCTAGAAACTCTTGAGACCTAGGCCGAACTTGGTGGACCAAACCGTGAGACAAAGCAACGCCAAGGGTCACATCCTCATAGGGGTACCCGACTGCACCAGCTTTGCACCAATGGCAAATCGGCTTTGGCGGGGTCTTTGCATCAACTTTTTTGAACAGGTTCCTGTAGGATCTGGTCAAGTGGGCGCTAGAAGCCAACCAACTCCAATCGCCTTTGTTTCCAAGGCAGAAAACTCTCAAACAGTGGCCGGATCGTAAAGCAACACCTGAATCCTGCAAAACCTTCAGATCCGCGCACAGCAGCCGCACTGCGTCATCTAGGGCGCCAGGGTTTTCTTTCGTGACGTCCCCAAGAACAGCAGTGCATAAGAAGCGGGTGACAAACGAATGCCCCAAGTAGTTGAGAGGAAACCCCGACTCTTCCAGCGCGTCGGCTGTGACCTTGTTGAAGTCTTGCTTGGATATGCCCTTCCCCAAGCACGGCTGCCACTGCAAAATGCAAACTGGCAACTTCTTCTTTGACCGTCCTTCGTCGCCGTGTTGAAGGGCTGGCAGGCACAGAGATAAATCCAAGCAGTTCTGTTTGGCAAAGCGAAGAAGACCGTGCTGTGGCCGTATTTGCTCAAACCTTTGCCAGAACTCAGCAAGAGTGGCCCGAAATGATTCCAGATCCTTGTGCCCTGCAAATAGCACATCCAACATCCCCAGCCCATCAAGCGCTTTGATGAAGTCAGATGGTTTATAGTACGGGTACTTGTCATGCGGGCCAACCGTCCCATGACTTGTCTCGACAGGGAAGACCAGGCCGTGATTTGAAAGCACCCGCATTGACACTTCTTCCTTAGCTGGCGTAACCGACAGAAATAGGCTTTTAGGTGGGCAAGCTGTTCACTTGTTCACTGGGCGAATGTTAGCAAGGCAAACAATTTTTGACGAGGGCAAAACTGCGTGTGGCTGGGCAACACCGAAGGGCTCCTTTCTTCTCGCTGGCTTTGGCGAGGGCTTGGATCACAGGGCAGCTCTCATTGCGGCCATCTTTGACAGCACTCTTTGCAGTTTTGATGGCCTCCTTGCAAGGCACCTGAGCTGGACAGAAAACACGGCTAGCGAGGCAACCTTGTTACTTCAGGGTGTGTTGGCAAACAGTTGGGCCCCTGCCCCGCCAATTCCTGCTACTTATTTTGGCCACACGACGCAAACACCTCAAGAGAGCTTTCAAGAAAGTCAGGGCACACCGCGCCCGATCTTTCTGGCAATGTCGAGGGCCAGATGGGAGCAGCCTGCCAAGGCGGGGGACTTGCGCAGGATCACGGGTGGTCCGATGTGCTGCAAGCAACGATGAAACTGTGACGCAAACCCATTCATTTTGCACCGATGCTCATCATGGGCTTGAAGCTGCACTGCTGGCAAAATTCTATGTACCCCCATCGCATGTGTCCAGCACATGCTCTCCCATTCACAGTGACACCCGCTCTGCCCATTCAGGAACTCCGGCGCTTCTTGGCCTTGCTGCCCGCGGCTTTGGCGCGAGGCTTGCGCTTTTTTGGCTGTGGGTCCTCTTCAGCGCCCGCATCGTCACAAGCTTCTTCAAGATCATGTTTCTTTTTCATCCGATTGAGCTCCTTGATGATTTGCCTTGGATGTTGAAACATAGCAACGTAATCTCCAAACATGCTTGCGTCGCCTGTCGCATGCTCTCTTGCTTACAAGGGGCTTGGCCTTCGCTTCCTTGCTAGTGACCTCGCCAGACCTGAGTGGTAAGCAAGCGCAACTAAGGTTTGCAGGTTGCCGATTAATGGAGCCAAGGGTCACGGTGTGGAACTCCTCCTTGCGCGCTTGAATGTCAGGCTGCAACCTGTGCGCTGACGATCGTTCGCCGACGCGTGGCAGTTCATTGAATGCCTCCAGCTGCAAGCAAACGCCCCCCGTTGTTTAAACGGTTGAAGGGATCTCAGATTGAATGTAGTTTTAGACATGTGTAGTACGACAGACCCGCTTTTGCGGCCGGGGGCAAGATGTGTGCGTGTGTCTCACAAGTGGCTGTTGCAGGTTGGAACAATACAGAAGACTTTTCAACATTATAACTGCGATTTGCTCTTTCTCATGCGCCGGCTTCTGACCTCATCTGCGTTTTGTCAAGCGGTCTCCGACCC